ATGGTCAGACGTTTTGCGGGAAAGTGTTTTTACTTTACTGCAGCCGTGGAAGTCTCCTAGTTTTATCACAGCAGCAGCAATGGGAGGAAAAGCATTAAAATCCTCTTTCTCCTACTGCGTCATTCTTCATTTCTCAAGTTCACCCCTCCTGAAACTGCTGCCAAGATGTGGAGGGAAGGGAGACACACCAGATTCCCTGAAAAGGTTACTCATATATTTCAAGCCATTTTTCAGATTAAGAAAATAATGCAAATGTCCATGGAAGGGACACCTTGAGGACACAGACCCTCTCCCTCAGCACCACTGCTCCCAATGAACTGGCTCTCTTATGTTTCAAACTGAAAGCAGAGGCACTGGGAGATCAGAACAAAGGAAAACCATTGCCCTGCATTGATTAGAACACAGGATCAGGATGAAGCAGATGTGGTTTTGATCCCTACCCTAAGCCATGAAATTCACTGGGTGACTTTGGCTTTGACATACACTTTCCTCCCAGCCTACCCCAGGAGGGGGTGGAGGGGAGGGGGGAGAGAGAGCCACATACAAGCATCTGGAGGAAAGGAAGAGTATCAATATAACTAATAAATAAATACAAGAGCAAATAGCTTGGGCTCTATGCCTTTCCAGTGCCTCCTCATTGTTAGAGCTCACAAAACTGATGCCTTCAAACCTGTATCAATTACCGGTGGCCTTAAAAGAGAAGAAGAAAATGGAATTTGCCAGGCTCCCCTGCCTGGAGACTATTTATAATAACTGCATGGTGTCAAAGTCTATTTTGATTGATGGCGACCTTTTCCAGGGCTTTCTAGGTAGAGAGTACTCAAAAGTGATTTATCATTCTCTTTTTCTGGGGGCGTCTTGGGCCTGTGCAGCTTGCCCGAGGTCACACCGGCTGGCGCTTCTCCCAGGAGGCGCAGTGGGGGAATCGAACTTCCCAACCTCTGGCTCCTCAGCCAGAGACTTAAACTACCGAACTAAGACACTGGATATGCACAGTGTCCCATTAAGCACTGTGTTCTGATCTCTGGGGCAAAAAATGCCCCAGAGACAATTACCTGGCCATTTGGGGCAGATCAGAACACAGCGCTTAATGGGACCACTATGCATGCCCAGTGTCTTGCTTGAAACAGGTTGCCTCATCAGCACATGCAGTTTGCGCATATCGGGGATGCACAGCCCACACACGGGTTTATGCTGGTATACTAGCTGTGCAGCTGAAGACCCAGTACAAAACGAAATAATTTTTATTCATTTAAATATGTAGAGTTTATTTCCATACCATCTTTTAATAAAGTTATTTTCAAGATAGTTTACCAAGGAAAACAAAAATCAAAGACAAAACATGAGTGTAAAAGACATATTCTTTCAAAACAGAGTAAAGATGTGACTATGCAACACAGTTATCCCAGACTGGATCAGCCTAGATGGTGCTGAGCAGAGTGGCTTTGAGGTGTGACCGTGTCCTTTGGGGCAATCCTTGCATCCACATGTAAAGATCAACCGTACTGCATGTCAAGGGACTCTCTTTAGCACCAATTTCTTTCCCTTTAAAAGGAAAGGAAAAAACAACAACAAACCACCCCTCCTGTCTTCTCCTCTGTGCTTTGCCTAAACTGCTTAATAATTTTGAGAAATGGTAAGATTCCTTGTCCCTGGCCTGCATAGGGGATGAAAGAGGAAGTTTCTCATTTCTTTTAAATTGCTGCTAACCAAAACACTAAATCAGCAAACAAAAAAGCCGTTTCAAAGCATCTCTGATGCATTAGCAACAATTAAAAAGAAATGCAAGGCCTCCCTTCCCTTCCCCTCTGCAGGTGGGTGACCAGGAAGCTTCTCATTTCTCTAGATCAGTGGTTCCCAACTGGAGACAGGCATGTTCAGTGGTTCAGCCCAGTTCAGCAGGACCACCCACACAGGTGTTCCATGGACGCTGCACCCTTCCCTCTCCCGCTTCCCCTGGGTGATCGCCCGCTCAGAAGAGGCAACGGGGCAGGGAAGCCCATGCTGCTGATGGTGAGTGGAGCATTGCCTGAAGGTGTGCGCGCTTCTGCTTATGAATGGGGAAATTGCCCCGAGGAGACAGGGGAGGGAAGCACATGGGGCCCACAGAATACCTGTGTGGGCACCGTGCCGAATCAGGCCGAACTGCAATTCATGCCCATCTTTATTCCCAACTCTTCTTTTTTCCACTTACGTATCTTTTGGAAGCCCATTTGGATGAACTGGACCCTTCGTATTAGTAAAAGCGTTTGTAATTAATGCGGTTGCTGTTATTTTGAATTTATATCTTGGAACTGGAAATAAATAGCCCAATCATGGGATTAAAAAGCAGTGGAATAATAAGGTAAACAGACAGTTTATATTATTTACTGTGCTGGTTTTCAATCACTGATCTATTGCTGATAATACACAAACTGAAAAATTAATGTAAAATTTAAAACAATAACAAAGAGAAGAAGAGAAAAGATAACAAAGAGAAGACCAGGAAGAAACTCACTCACTGAACTCTGTTCACAGGAGTGACTGAGATGCCTGCTTATATATACACACACCGGTAATAGTGTGACAGCACTTTAATGTAGGTTCACAAAGCAGAGAAGAATGAAAGCTGAGCCTGTAAAGGGAGTGCCACCAAGCATGCATGCTGTAATGGTGTGTTTGCAACACATTGTTTAAGGGAGAGACATTTGCCCAAATAAAGTGAGGGAATGAGGTTTTTCTCATGGTTGAATAATGAAGACCCCCCCCCTTTGCTACTCATCAGTCTGCAATTAATTTCACAATTTGTGACTTGTTCCTTGTCTGACACTGTTGATATATGTGCCTTTTAATAGAAGTTACGAGATGATGAGCTTTGTAGTAACAACAGAGAGAAATTCCTTTAATTCCCTTAATTGCACAACGAGAACACTACAGTAGTAACTTTTGGACTTAAAACTGAGTTGCAAATCCCCAAGAAATATACACGCCTCATAACATTTAACTAGCTTAAGTAATTACTCAGACACTGATTTTTAAGATAAAAAGAAATAAAGCTTTACTCACTGAACTTGCAAGTTACTTAAACTCAAAGACGCTTAAGTAAGATACACAAAAATAGAAGATCTCAGAGGTAGCCCCTAACAAGAACCCAAAAGATCCAGGTGGGCATCAATTAGAGGTGGGCTGGTTTGCAATGGGGCATACCTCATGTGATCATCAGGAAAAGGAGCAAACCAACCCAGACCAAACTGCAGGACAAATGCCTGTCTTATTGCACCCTAAGCTGCTTTGAAACAGGACAGGAGAGGCATTCCCATGGGTATGTTTGTACTGACTGACTCTGCACTGAGACTGAGCCTCCATTATTACTTTATGAGCGTTTTATTATGAGGTACAGTGGTGCCTCGCTTAGCGATTGCTCCGTTGAGCGATGAAATCGCTTAGTGACCAAGTTTTTGCGATTGCTTTGCGATGGTCCCTATGGGTTTTTTTCACTTTGCGATGATCGTGGGGAAGCGATAATGGCAAAGCGACCCTTTTTTAACAGCTGATCGGCGGTTTCAAAATGGCCGCTGGAAAAACAAAAGGGCCGCCCGCTGTGTTTCCTCGCTTTAGAGGCACCGAAAATGGCTGCCCCTATGGAGAATCTTCATTTAAAGGTTAGTTTTTAGCCCATATGAACGCATTAATCACATTTTAATGCATTTCTATGGGCTTTTTAATATCGCTTAGCGATGAAATTGCTTAGCAATGTTTTTTCGGAACAGATTAACGTCGCTAAGTGAGGCACCACTGTATTCTATATCCTCAAGAGATGTGGTGACACTGTGGGTTAAACCTATTCTATATCCTCGAGGGACATGGTGACACTGTGGGTTAAACCGCAGAAGCCTCTGTGCTTGCATGGTCAGAAGACCAACAGTCGTAAGATTGAATCCGTGCAATGGAGTAAGCCCCTATCACTTGTCCCAGCTCCTGCCAACCTAGCAGTTTGAAAGCATGTAAAAATGCGAGTAGATAACTAGGCACCACCATGGTGGGAAGGTAATCCTCGAGGGACATGGTGACACTGTGGGTTAAACCGCAGAAGCCTCTGTGCTTGCATGGTCAGAAGACCAACAGTCGTAAGATTGAATCCGTGCAATGGAGTAAGCCCCTATCACTTGTCCCAGCTCCTGCCAACCTAGCAGTTTGAAAGCATGTAAAAATGCGAGTAGATAACTAGGCACCACCATGGTGGGAAGGTAACAGGATTCCGTGTCTAGTCGCGCTGGCCATGTGACCACGGAAACTGTCAACAGACAAAACACTGGTTCTACGGCTTGGAGACGGGAATGAGCACCGCCCCCTAGAGTCAGACATGACTGGACTAAATGTCAAGGGGAACCTTTACCTTTACCTTTATTCTATATCTAGTGTAGTATAGTGGACAGAGGAATGGACCAGGACCCAAGAGGTCTGGATTTGAATCCCTGCTCAGTCACGGAAATTCCCTGGGGATGTAGAACTGGTAAAGCCATTCCTTAAATATCTCAATTACCTTGAATGCCCTCTTAGGGTCACTATAAGTACGTTCCAACTGGACAGCACATAACAATTCTGTATACTAAAACTGAACTCATTCTCTTAAGCATGGATCCATCTTAGTGCCATTTTCATTGGCTCAGAGGATCCCCAAGATATGTGGAAGCGCAAAAACGTATCTTTGGTGGGGCGGGGGATGACAAACCCCAAAAATAGCCTAATGAGGACTGGAGATGCAGAGTAAGCAGAACGCACGGACTGAATGTTGGAGAGCAAACAGTGGAAAACCCAGGACTGGTATGGAGTGGGCTATATGGAATAAAAGAGTTTGCTATCTGCCCAGCTGGCACTCTGGACAGAAGGACTCCAAGCTGCAAATTTCTGTGGCAGATTCTCTTTCCTGCTCGCTCCCTATAGCAACCACCCAGAAAGAATGGGAACAGAAACGCCAGGAGATGCTTACAGGGCCTCCCACCACTTTGCCAGCCACCTACCTTTCTCAACAGCCGAGACACCCATGGAAGCCTGAGCCAGGTCTGCTTTCTTCTCCCATTTGCCCTCGTCAACGTGGTACGCTTCAACGGAAGCCAAGGGGCTCTGGGTGGAGTCCACCCCTCCGATCACCAGCACTTCCTTGTCCAACATGGCCGTTGCAGCCCCCGCCCGTGGGGTAGGCATAGGAGGCAACCCTGTCCACTTGTGGGAAACAATATCCAACATTTCCACAGTGTCCACCGGCAGACCCTGCTGGCTGCAGCCACCCACCACATAGAGGTGTCCATCTTGGTACGCCGGGCTGCAGTACACCCGGCAGGCAGGCATTGGGGGAAAAACCTCCCAGTAGAAGGATTTGGCATTGGCTGCTTCCATTCTGCCCAACGGCCTGGCATTTCAGGAAGCGGACATGGCAGGAGCTGCTGCAGCCTCCCACCCAGCACCCCAGAGATCTGTAGGGACTGCTCTGAGGCAAGGAGAAGGCCTTACTTTCTGCGTCACTGGAACTCCACATCCACAAGGCATTAGGAGACTGGGATGCAAATATGGCTGCAGGAAGAGTGCAGGGTCCCCCAAGCGAGAGGGCAAGGAGTGCCGTGATGCCTGAAGAAAGCTTCCTCCAGAGGGAGGGGAACCATGCCAATCCAGAAGGCCTAGTGATGTCCTCAGGAGATACCCTGGACGCCCAAGGCTGGGCCTAGCTGGCTGGAGGTGGTGTCCGTGTCAGCCAGTCTCAGAAAGCAAAAACCTTCTTCCAATGTTTGTGGTGAACAAGCCTTCCTGCAGCCTCCAAAAAGTAGAGGGAATGGAAGATAGGAAGGAAAGGAAAGAAAAGAAAAAGGTGGTACAAGGTTATTTAGGTCTATTACAGGAACCATTTTGAGGAATTTGGTCACAGTGAAAACAGGCCGCACTAGATGACAGGAAGTCTCCCTAATGGATTGTCCATCATGAGATATCTCTCTCTCTCTCTCTTCGCTGTTTTGGAAATCATCTTTAGATCTAGCAGCTCAAAAAGGGACTCAGGCTGCCTGGTGCTTAAGAGTGAATTTAAGGGACCTAAACTGAAGGAGAAAGATGTAGCAGCAAGATTAAACTTGGCCTGCCAGGTTCTTTGCCACAGAAAAACCCTTGGTTGTGTTTCCTCTTAAAATGGGAGGTTCAGCTTTAACATTTGTAATGCACACCCAATAAGAAGTTTGTTTTTAAAACATTCTTAGCGTCTTCTCTTGATCGTGCAATGCAGAATACCCACAGAAAGAGATTATGTGGTGCAGAACATTGGCTCTACCTTTTCAGCAGAAAAACCAGAATGCTTACAGAAGTAAGAGGGTTAGTTTTCCCTTCTTACAGAAGAAGAGACCAAAGGACTCTTTAGTTCATTATCCGGTTTCTGATTTTGTGCAACACAAACAATCTCGTCTATATTTGTGAGTGCAAAATCAAGACCCCGTTACTGGAATTCTGGTCAAGCATATCAAGGCACCATCGTTTATATGCACCTGGACCATGTGATGCAAGAGAAAAAACCAAGGTGGGGCTGAGGACAGAAGAGCCGTTTCAATTACTCTCCTGCAAATTTCCCAGTGGCCTTAACAAGAGCCACGAAGAAACCCAATCTATTGCCTCGGGGTGATTGCAGCAACTGGTGTCTTTAGGTCAGCCTAGATCAGTCTTAGGATCGCCCTTGTCAAATCAATCACAGACACCTCAAGAGGACACAACAAGCCTGTCTGGTGCATTCACCCTTCTGTGGAAAGACAACACATCGTGGAAAGGGGGGAAAGAGAGGAAGACTTAAATCAATGTGAAAGGTGCCTGCTGGGATGCAATCAGCTTCAAAACACATTTCCTGCAAAATTATAGCTGTGACGAGGGGTCACCAGAGGATAAAATATTCAAGAGGCAGCAAGAACAGGAGCAGGGATTAAGAGAAGGGTAGAGACTAGAAGAGCTACCGTTTTGGGCTACAGTTCCCAGAGCCTCCCAGGCAACTGGTTGGAGGATTCTGGGAGCTATAGTCCAAAAAAACATCCAGGATTGGAGTCAAAGGCCGCTGTACCAAAAGCGCTTAGTCCAGCATTTATATTTTTGTCTTCCCGGCACCAGATAAATGAACATTTGATTTTCTTGAGCCAAACGCAGTTTTAATCATGCTGACTATTTTCAGACTCCTTATAATTCTTTGCCTTTTGCTTTGTATTATTTCTGCATTTACATTTTAACTGTTTTTTTCCTCCTGTCAATCCAACCCTGAAAAGCAGCATTAAAATAATAGATAGATAGATAGATAGATAGATAGATAGATAGATAGATAGATAGATAGATAGATAGATAGATAGATAGATAGATAGATAGATAGATAGATAGATAGATAGATAGATAGATAGATAGCATAATGGACTGTCATTCTTACTCTGTGGCAGGGAGAGAACACTGAGGGGGTCAGGTATGAGCATCAGTTGTAAAGGTCCTCTTAGTTCCCAAGAGATGTTATTTTCAGATAGGTCTGCTAGTCAACTGCTGCCCATTTAGCTTTACCAGCCGTTTGAACTGTAGGTGTTAATGAAGGACAGCGCCCACTTCCATCCTGTGAAAGCTTCATTTACTTGTTTCAATAAACTGGGGTGAGTAATTTGTAGCCTTCCAGCTACTGGACTGCTGGATTGCTCAGTGGTTTAACTACACATGCCACAGTCCATTGCCTCTACCTGCTAGGGTTTATGGGTGCCGTAGTCCAAGAACATCTGGAAGGCCACAGCTGCCCATTTCAGCTAGAGAGCATGGGGGTTGCTAAAGCCATAGGAAGATGGAAGGTTTTTTTCCAGGTCAATTGGCAATCCCACCTGTAAAGCTCCAGATCTACTATACCTTTCTCAAATTTTGATTTATTTTATATATTTATTTAGATTTATACCCCATCCATTTAGTGAAAATACCACTACTCTGGATGACTTACAAAATATTATTAAATTCATATAAAATATATAAAACATATTAAAAGAAAACAAACAAACCCTACCCCCCCCCCCCATAAAATCACCCATCTGGGACATAGGATGGCAGACAATGGGCGAGTCTAATTTTACAAAAGCGTGGTGCTTGGGAAGGCCTGGGTAAAAAGCCAGGTTTTAATTTGCTTGTGGAAGCTCAGGGGGGTGGGGACCAGTCACACCTCCACAGGAAGAGAGTTCCTGAGCAGAGTGGCCACAACTGAAAAGGCCCTGTTTCGGCCTCTTTTGTAGTGGCCATCCGCAACACTAAAGACTGGGAGGTGCAGGTGGGACAGGAAGATGACCTGCGGGAGAGGCGCTCTGAGAGGTAGCAAGGTCCTAAACTATAAGGGGCTTTATAAATTAGCCTCAATACATTGAATTTGGCTCAGAAGCATACTGGCAGCCAGTGCAAGCGAGGACAGGACAGATGAAATATGGTCAAATTTAGAGGTATCAGTGACCAGCCTGGCCGCTGCATTTTGCACATGATGCAGCTTCCAAACCACCTTCAAGGGCAGCCCCACGTACAGAGCATTGCAATAGTCAATCCTCAATATGACCAATGCATGAACCAGTTTTATTAGGGATCTCCTGTCAATAAGGAGGTGGAGGTGTGCAACCTACCTAAGATGGAAGAGGGCAGATTTGGCCACAGCCAGGATCAGTTTTTTCCATCAAGAGGGCCAGGTCCAGAAGCACACCCAGATTTTGCACCTGATCCTTCACGGGGAGTGTGACCCCATCAAGGTCAGGTAACATGCCCCCTAACCAATCAGGATGCTCTCCCAACAACAGGATCCCTGTCTTGTCAGGATTCAGTTTTGGCTTATTTGCCCTGGTGCAGTCCATAACAGTGGCCAGGCAACATTCTAGGGTCTGTACAGCTTCCCCTGCTGAAGAAGAAAAGGAGAGAGAGAGTTGTGTATCAACTCTGTACAGTGGTGCCCCGCTTGACGATAGTGAACTCTGTACAGTGGTGCCCCGCTTGACGATGACCCCACTTGACGACGAGTTTTTTACAATTGCTATAGCGATTGCAAAACAATGGTTCCTATGGGTTTTTTTCGCTTTATATTGATTAGGTGCCTGCTTCACAAACCATTTGTTGGCTTTACATCAATTAGGTGCCTGCTTCACAAACCATTTGTTCGCAAAACGATGTTTTTTCCGGCTCCACAAAATGGCTTCCCTTCACAAAATGGCTTCCCTCCCTTCGCAAAATGGCTATTTTCCAGACAGAAGCTTCAGAAGACAGCAATTTTAAACAGCTGATCGACAGTTCTCTATGGGCGATCTTCACTGGACAATGAGGTATTTCCCCATTGGAATGCATTAACCAGTTTTCAATGCATTCCAATTCCTGGAACTGATTATTTTTTTCTTGAGGACAATTTCTCTTAACAGCGATTTTCCTGGAACTGATTATCGTCGTCAAGAGGGACACCACTGTATCTTCGAATGACCTCTCCCAGCTGAGTCATGTAGATGTTAAACAGCAAGAGGGAGCTGAATGACCTCTCCCAGCGGTGTCATGTAGATGTTAAACAGCAAGAGGGAGATGATCGATCCCTGTGGAACACCACATTGTAGTATCCACGGGTATGAAACATCTTCCCCAAACTGAATTCTCTGGCATCAGCCATTAAGGAAGGAGCCAGGATAATGCTAGACCTCCGATCCCAAGTCTCGATAACCGATCCAGGAGGATACTGTGGTCAACAGTATCAAAGGTGGCTGAGAGGTCTAGGAGGACCAACAGGGTCACACTCCCCCGGTCAGCCTCCCGTCATAGGTCATCTAGCAGGGCAACCAGAGATGTCTCAGTCCCATGACATGGACTGGACCCCGATTGGGATGGATCCAGACTATTGGTATCCTCCAAGAATGCTTGCAGTTGGTTAGCCACCAACCTCTCAATCAGTTTCCCCATGAACGGTATGTTGGCAACCAGACAATAGTTGTTTAAATCATTGGTTGACGAATAGCACCTTGGCTGAAAATATCAACAGGACCAACATGAAGCCATCTTTAAATAAATTATGTGTCCCATCTCTGTGGCATGAAGAAAGAGAACAGAGAGCCAGCAGCTGCCTTTGGACTCTGAGTGTCTGCCCAGATCTCGTCCCTGAGTCTTGGTACCCCCCCATAGAGACCCAAGCCCCCTTCATCTGATCCGTGCTCCACCTGAAGGCTCTAACTGGGAGCTGCCCCCCCACCACATTTGATCCATCCCTATCTTAAACTTGTCAATGAGGAGAACTCTGCAGCTCATTTATCTTCCTTGTCACAAAATTAGGTGCTTTAGTAGCTTAATAGCTGAGAGCTGCATAATTTAGCAATGCAAGCATGAAATATTGATAACAAGTTCCCAGATCAGCAATAGCTGCTTGCCTCCAGGGAGGCTCTCAGTGTTCACAGGAGAAAGAAAGAAGGCACTCTTTTTTTGCACTCTACGTTGCTCAAGGAAAAGTGGGAGAGCTTGGCTCTTGGGCCTTTCAGAAGAAGCAGAAGTTTCATCCGCAGGCAAGATAATAATCCTCCTGCTTAAAAACTGGACAAGGCTCAGAGACTTACATTTTCAAATAAATTTTGTTATGTAATCAAATACACAAACACATATACATGCATGAACAACTCATGACTATTAATGCTGCACTGATATGTTAGCAATTTTCTTTTTGCTCATCATGTTACCCCATACATTTTTGTTGCTTAAAAAAGAAGAAGCAAAAAGCATGCTTTTTAGCACTTTAAGCAGTCTCGGAGCGGTTTACAATTTAATTATGCAGGCTACACATTGTCCCCACTCCCCAGTGAGCTGAGTATTCCATTTACTGTCCTCGGAAGAGGTCTATCTAAAATGGAAGAAAATAGTTTAAACTTTTAAAAAGTTCCCTCAAAATATCCCAAGAAAATAACCTGACTCTCAAAAAGTAACCAACAAAATGCTGCTTGTTACATGGGTAAACAAATAATGACCTTACCACTCATTATGTTATCCGCCATAGTTAGCCCCAAATAGGTAACAGCAGCACTTGTATACATATTATGTCCAAACCGTAGTACCAAGTAGCCCCTAACACCACCAACACTTGAAATTTGGCCCTAAATGTACTATAACTGCAGCATGTAACAGCGAGGAATTACAGCTCAGCATGTTTGGGGATGTGCCATAATAGCATCTGAGAAAGAGACACTGGGAATCTATGGAAAAGAGTGTTTGCATGTGCCTAAGAGAGATACAGAAAGGATGAAGATCTAAGCTCCATAGACAAAGCATGAACTGGCATATCAACACTTAAATGGGTTTGGCTTTAAAGATACAATACATAACAGGGATAGATGCTCCAGCCACTAAGGACAGTTAGCATCCCTCTTTCAACTGCATGCATTTTATTTCCTCTTCCAATCACAAGCTATAGAAACTTGCCATTAAAACATGAACACACCTGATATTCCTATATTCATGCCTACCTGCTGAATTAGACCGAAGGTCTAGATATTCCAGTATCTTGTTTCCCACCACGGCCAACTAGCTGGCAACACAAAGCTGCTCAGTGGGTGCCACTATGAGAAACAAAATGCTGATCAGTGAAGCACTGATCTTCTTGCGCTTGCCTCTGTAAGCAAAATAAATAAAGAACCTGTGAACTAGAGGAACTTACTTGGATAATGTATTGGTCCTAGCTGGAAGAGGTGGGTATGTTGGCCTCCCCCTGAGAAAGATGAATGTAGGTTGAAATGATGTTGCTCTGTTGAGACAAGAGAAGTAGTTATCATTTGCAAATGGGAACACGAGAAGTCCGTTCTGGTGATGGAGTGGGAGGAGGCAGACAAGGAATAAAGAATAGCCCATGCTTTGCTACTGTAAGCTCCTATGTCATCCATCCACCCAGTCAGTCATTTCGGAAAAAGTGATATCAGCTATTTTTTTCATGGGAGTTTCTTAAGTACTCAGGTCTAATGCTAAAAGAACAATCCAGAGAACTGTTCCCAAATTCAGGGAATTTCTTTCCAAATTCACATATGAGTGAATATGTGAATGAATATACAGTATTTAATAAAGCACTTGCCTTGATAGCTAGGGGCTTCTGGGAGTTGTTCTCCAAAAATGTAACTTTCTCAAGCTCTGCCCTTTGCACATTCACGCTTCTCAACATGCATGCAAGCACCCTGCTTCTTATTTGATCTTTCTTACCTTGTTCAAAAGAGCTAGCAGCCTGCAAGCAATTTGCAAGATCCACAGCAGCCTGCAATGTTCTGCAGCTTTCCAGCCCTGCGATCCAGTCCATGCAGAGGTGTGTGTGTGTGTGTGTGCGTGTGCCAGCCTTTGCTGGTCCTTGCTAGGTAGAAACTGTAAACTGAACTTGCCAGAGTAATCTCGCAGGAGAAATGAGGGAGATGCACAGGAAGCAAGAGCCGGGACAAAGGGATGGATTACATTTTGCTTTGATTGAATGCAGAGGCTATGACCGCATTGCTAGCATTGCTTACTCAGCAGTCTCCAGCTCTGGCTACCTCTGCAGTTCAGCTTCAGCAGCCAAGAATTTAAAATTCGTATCTCAAAAAAATCACACTTCCAGCAGCGCTCTCACAAGACAGGATATGCAGGTAGGCCAAGCTATAATTCTGCGTCTGGCACTTTAACCACCTCATACCTCAGGCAAAGACTTGAGGATTCAGCCTTAAGCCCATAGAAAATTCCTTTTTTATTAACCTGATCCTCCTAAGTCTGAGGTGATTTGAAAGATCTTGCTTACGACATGTAAAGAAAGGGCTGGAGAGCTTCATTATATTCTGGGACACATGCACAAAAAAAGAAAACAGACCCTCTGCTCTGCACCCACAGAACTTCCAGCATAATTATGCAAACTAAGTCAGTATCGCTACTTAAATTGCCTAATGTATTCTTGCCTCTGAGATTTAGGTTAGCAAATAATGTGGAAAATTGAAAGCCACATCTGTGAAAAAAGCAAGGCAAGAGAATAGAAACAGGCACAGGAGGAGGGCTCCAAGGAAGATGGATGGCTGAGTTGACCCAAGACAATAGAAAGCTGCTCCATAGAGTACAGAAGACCCTAGCTACTTCCATCCTATTTCGTTTATTTATTTAAAATATGTTTATCCTGCTTTTCTCCTTTAAAAGGACCCATTAAAAAGACTGTATTTAAAAGCTAAAAGCAGTAAGTGTCCAAATATTTCGAAAGAATCCACAACGCTCTTCTCTCAGGCCCCAGGGCGTGGTCACCCAGCGCCCTTCCTGGCCGATTTTACCACCTGTGGGAGGTGGTGAGCACTCCAGCACTGGAGGCATTCAAGAGAAAAATCTGGTTTGATCTGTTTTCCTGCACTGAGAAGGGGGTAGGACTTGATGGTCTCAGAGGCCCCTTCTAACTCAATTATTCTGTGATAAACGGATTTAAAATGGTAAATAAAATCAGTGCTAAGAACATTTAAGAGCAACAAGGAATAACAATGCATTTACTTTTCCCTGCCACAGATGCTACCTGTAGGTTTTTAAGTTATTCTTCCCAACCATGAGGACTAGAGGCCCAAAGGTGAAGATTTTAAAAAGATGAAACCTTGCAAAAAAAAAAGGAAGGAGGTTCCAAGCACAGATGGCGAACCCATAGATCCATTTTCCTCAACCCGTGGCCTTCCTGATGGGTTGGGCAGCAACCGCTGTGTCACCCTGGGCCCCTGACCATCTAGTTGGGGAGCATAAGAGTTGTTGTCCAGCACATCTGGAGGGCATAAGTGTGAAGGAGATTAATAAATAACTTCAGCACGTGGACCAGAAAAGGAATCCTACAAAGTGGATATTTCAGCATCAGACCTAACCAGAAGTAAGCGGTCCTGCGACTTTCCTCTGCTGAGCTACTGAGTTGCCAAACAGAGCAGATGCTGCTCCTTTGCTCCAAGCTGCCAAGTCCTACAACTCACAAGGCAGAGATAAAGAGTGCCAGGATAGAAGGGGGGGGGGAAACAGTGGTTTCCTGGCTTGCTGAAGTCTCTTCAATTCATTAGCCTGATAAGGGTAAGGAATGGGTTGCCTCTGCCATCCATTCTCCAGTCATTCCTGGTGACTGATGCCCGCGTATGTTACCTCTATCCAATTCTCAGGACTCCTACCCTACTGAATTTCTACAGCCGTGAAAGTTGGCATGGTGTTGAAAATCTGTGAAGGAAGATCTGATGCACATGGAAGAGATTTACTTGTTCATTACATCTGTACCCTACCTTTGCTCCAGGGAGCTCAAGGTAGTGGATGTGGTTCTTCTCTCCCGCCACTGTACCCTCGCAGCCACTTTGTGAATTAGAATTGGATATGGAGAGTTTGATAAGCCGGCAGGTACGCTCATAGGTAGGTTTCATAGCTATGTGATGTCCTAGCCCAGTGGTTCTCAAACTGGGGTCCCCAGATGTTCTTGGACCAAAACTCCCAGACTTCCCAACTTCCTGTGCTGGTCAGGATTTCTGAGAGTTGCAGTCCAAGAACATCTGGGGGACCCAAGTTTGAGAACCACTGTAATCTAGCCCAACACCTTAACCCTTCCCATGGGCTGACCTTCCTCTGTAGAACCCCTCTCTCTCCCAAGAATTTCTCCCAACATAAGCACATTGTTTCGCTTTCAGCTTTGCTAGCTGGCAATTCATCTGAAATACAAAGAGAGCAACACATATAACATTTGTGGGAAGGGAAGCGGTGGAAAAAGATTGCACACCTTCATGCCCCCTGCTGACAAGAAATTGATGGAACTCATACAGGCTATGGCGGGTACCGCTCAAACGTGCTATAGTTTTAAGCCAATCCACTGCTAACATGGCTTGTGCACTTTGTTTCTTTCTAAGGAGAAGGATGGGTTTAAGCCAAACAAGAAATCAAAGAATAATTGAGTTGGAAAGGGCCTATAAAGCCATCGAGTCCAAACCCCTGCTCAATGCAGGAATCCAAATCAAAGCAGATCTGACAGATGGTTGTCCAATTTTCTCTTGAATGCCTCCAGCATTGGAGCGCTCACCACCTCTCGAGGTAATTGGTTCCATTGTCATACTGCTCTAATACTTAAGTTTTTCCTTGATATTCAGACTACGTCTGGATTCCTGTAGCCTGAACCCATTATTACGTGTCCTGCACTCTGGGATGATCAAAACAGATGTTGCCCCTTCTCTGTATGAGTGTATTTTTGAAAAGTGCTGTTATATCTCTCTTCAGTCTTCTTTTCTCAAGGCTAAACATCCCCAGTTATTTCAGACTTTCCTCAAAGGGCTTGGTTTCCAGTTCCCTGATCGTCCTTGTTGCCATCCACTGAACTTGCTCCAGTTTGTTGCCATCCTTCTTAAACTGCAGCGTCCAGAACTGCATACATGCCTAACCAGTGCTGAATAGAGAACTAGGATACATGCCTAACCAGTGCTGAATAGAGGAGAACTAGTACTCCACGGAATTTGGAAACTATACTTTTGTTAATACAGCCTAAAACAGCATTGGCCTTTTTTGCAGTCACATTGCACTGTTGGCTCATATTCAGTGTGTGATCTACAAAAATTCCAAGATCCTTTTCGCTCATAGTATTACTGAGCCAAGTATCCCCCATCTTGTAATTGCATTTGGTTTTTTCCCCTAGGTGTAAAAGTTTGCTCTTATACCTTTTAAATTCCATTCTGTTGTTTTCAGCCCAGTGCCCAAGCCTATCAAGATTTTTGAATTTTGTTCCTGTTTTCCAAGCTATTCGTTTTTCCACCCAATTCTGTGTCATTCACATACTCGATGAGTATTTTCTTTACCCCCTGATTCAGGTCATTAATAAAAATGCTGAAGAGCACTGGACCCAGAACCAGGCCTTGTGGTAACCCACTTGTTACCTCCTCCCAGTTTGACAAGGAGCCATTGATAGGCACACTCCCAGATACGATTCTGTAACCAACTTTGTATCCTCCTGACTGTTGTTCTATCTAGCCCACAATTCAACTTACTAATAATCAGAATATCATGGAGCACTTTGTCAAATGGGAATAATGGGTGTAAATAAGACCAGAGCTTTGGAAATTTTACTTTTCTGGAGTATGACTCAATGCCCCACCTAGCCTGAATGGTGGCTAAGGGATTCTGGGACTTATTGTCCGAAAAGGTTAATATATGCAAGCTCTGAGCAAGATATGGGGAGATATGGGGAAGAGATGGGCGCAGGGACAGAGTATTTCCCTACTCTTAGTTCTGGGTCAAAGACAGATATTTCAGGGGAAAGAATCATGGCAAAAAGGTGAAGAGCATCTTCCTGAACAGGAAATGTAATGTCAGCTATGGGGAAGCACACTACTGTATAATGATTTTTAATCTGCCTCCGTTACTCACTGTTCCCAGTTTGGAGTTCTATGGCAAGAAATACAACACCTAATTTTAAACAGATTTACTTAGGGGGGGAAATTCCCATTTTCAATGGAAAAGATATTACACTGAAAATTATTGCCTCTCTGTCATTTACTGAGTGCTGCATTTATTCATTCAGTTCCTATCAAAGAGACACATATGACTCTTCCCTTCCCCAGTTTTATCATTATAACAAACAAGCCAGGTACTGTATGTCAAACTGAGTGTCACGGCTGAGTGGGGGATTTGAACCCAGGTTTCCTAAGTCCTAGTCGAACACCTTAACCACTAGAACACACTTGGTCTGTAGCAGAGCCAAGGATCACAGAGTGAAAGCAAGAGGAATCGCTGGAATTAGCACGGGTAGTGAGAAGTTGCTTACTCACATTGGGCTTCCCTGTACCTTTTGAGCTTAAGTGGAGTTCTCTCAGCAGTGGAGCTGGGGGGTGGGGGATGAGTTTTCCCAACAATTCATTGTTCCGGGGAATCCTTGCTATAATATTATAGGGGATAGCCCTAAATGGGCAATTAAACTCCATTAGCTTTGAAAAAGACCTGTGCCTGGGCGGAAATAAAAACAACTGCAAACCTGGTTTGCTCAAAGGAATCAGCACAGCGGCCTGCTTTTCTGAAATGTTCCCTCCAGGAATCCCTACAGGAACCGTCATGGTGATTGCCTATATACTTTGAAATTTGCCACTACCGTACTGAAGACATTTAAAATCACATTCAAACAAGCGTGGTTCAAAGGACCTACAGCCCACTCTGTTCACTATTCAGGGCCGTTGCGCTCTTCTCCCTCCGCCCCCTTCTCCTTCTCCTTCTTTGACAAAATGCCAACAGTTGTGCAATTAAAAAAATCATCCTATTCAATAACAACTGGGGAGTTTTTCGATCAGCCAGCAGTTAATTGCTCGGAGACATACATGGGCTTCAGCCTTTTCCCTGCGACTTCCTTCCATCCTCAGACAGGTGCTTATTTTTGCTGCACAAGGATGAAGGGAGAGACAAGCCATGCGAGTGATCAAAGCGGTAATTCCTTTCATTTAGACACATGTTCCAGAGACATGTGCTGGCACCGAGAACACAAGCCAGTGGCTGAATCAATCCCTGGATCTATGGCAGACCTCACAACAGTGAGACCAGAGGTGAGCAGGTGCTGCTCTTAAGGCTTGTGTCTTGATAGCTATAATGTCACCTGATCAAGATTCTTTCCCAAGCCATACCCATCGGTAATCACAAAAATAATAATAATAATAATAAAGAGGAGCCATATGCAGCCATAAACAGAGGCTCTGCTATATAGCTCCCCAAATCCACAGCATATACTCTACAGTCCTCAAGCAGATTATAATGCATGAGTCACCCACCACAACGATTTCTAAAAAGAACCGAGGAGAAAGAAGCGCAACAGCCAGTCTCTTCTATGCTGCCTCAGTTCTGTTCCTGCTTCGAAGCTTCCCCTCTTTCAATGCGAACCAGCTCTAAGGTTCTGGACCTTGGACGATGTGACTGTGCCGTTCCCAAGTCCACACTGCCAGACAGACATCATCTGCTTGGGTCAGCTGCCACTGTCAAATATCACAAGTCAGTTTCTCTCAATTTTAATTGCATTCCATCAAGTCGGTCCCGACTTATGGTAACCCTTTCCCAGGATTTTTACGGTACAGTAGAGAATATACAGAAGTGGTTTAACATTTCTTTCTTCCAGGGTTTTCTAGGTAGAAAATGTAACATTCCCCTTCTTCTGGGACAGCCCTGGGACTGTGCAATTTGTCCATGACTTACACAAACTGGCTCTTCTCACAGGAATCAAAGTCTCCACCTCTGGCTCCTCAGCCAGATACCTAAACCACTGAGCTATCCAGCCAACCTTCTCTGAATTAGGAGGTTTGAACTGTTGAATGTGCTACCCTGCGCTAGGCTGCAGATTGATAGCCAGTGGGAAACTCCAGCTGCATGACTCTGCCCAGCCTGCTGCCCACATTCAGCCTCCCATCAGGCCTATACCTGATACATTCCCAATTGAACCATATCTTTCAATGAGGATCTAACTCAGGTTATGAGTAGAGTCTTCACTGCAGTACTGCAATTTAACCAGCACAACATGAGGCTCCTTATCTCTATGAAGGAAGATTATATTGTTTGGGACTATTAAATTTAAAAAAAAATGTGTGCCTTAAGAGTGGCTATGATCAAGTCTCAGGAATTTTGCAAAGGGATTAGAACAGCAATGGAGAACCTTTGCTCTTCTAGATGACCCACCCCTGTTTTAGGAAAAGTGAGTATCGTGTATAGTTGAAATACGGAATTCACAAGATTAGATTGATGGCCACTAAGGCTTTAAAAGGCAATTACAACTGCTCCTCGAGAATAAAGCTACCAGTGACTACTAAAATGTCACAGCAGATTGTGCTTTCTCTAGGTTCAGCCATTGTCAATACTTGATTCTGGAAACCAGCAGCAGACGAGGGCTACACGATCTACCTGTCCTGTTTGTGAGGTTCCTAGAGGCATCTCCTTGGTCACTGTGTCGAACTTGATAAGATTTTGGTCCAAAATACTCTTCTAATGGAGAAATGAATCAGACGTAGGGGTAATAGCAAATAAACTTTTCTCCTCACGGGAAATACTAGGCAAGGCCTTTTGACCTTCACTGCCACCTGGGACAAAGAGATTGTTATGAAAGACACTAAAAAAAGGCAAGAGATATTAAAAGTGAAAAATGAGTAAACAGCATTTCAGCCAGCTCTTGACATTTTATGGGCTGTTATCACACCATTCACTTTACAGACATGAGGAGTGCACTGCAGCTACCTTTTAGTGTGGTTAAACAGGGAGGGGGCAAAGGGGGAATCTGTTCTGCCTCTGGCTTTCTTTCTACAGCAAGGTTTTCACTGATATTCAGGATGCTTCATGTGTTTGCCTCTCAGTCCTCTTCCTAAAATGCTTCTTTGTACAGTAGTTCCCGTTCAGATCAGCCTGAGTACACTTCTGAGGAAACATGAAAAGGATGAACTGCACCGCTGGGACTGCAGTTAATGAAAGACCTGGGGAAGCCCTCCAGAAAAAAACGCTCTGCACATGCTTAGAACACATCGTTTTTTTTACAGGACGTTGGAAACAGGCTATGAAGGAGGAACTCCTGGTCAACTGACAAAAGATGTATTTTCCCACCACCACCAGGGAAATATGACCCCAAGCACACATTACATTATACTCCTGGTCAACTGACAAAAGATGTATTTTCCCACCACCACCAGGGAAATATGACCCCAAGCACAGACTCCTTTTGCCCCACCACAGGAGGAGGGAAAGGGAGGGTGGGTGAGGGGCAGGACACCAACTTACTTTACCCCCGTAGGTGCCCGATCAGCTTCCAACCACTTTCTCCCCATCCCGCCGCAACCTCTTAGCCATAATACTGTAAGTGAGTTTTTAAAGCCCCGACAGAACACCGTGGCCGCTCCGGGCCCTCAGTAACACTTCGCCACCCCCCGGCTGGCGACCCTCGCGAGGGTCTTCCCAGAGAGCCCCGCCGCTCGCCCCTCGAGGGTCGGGTGTCCGCAAGGGGTGCGGAGCTCGCCGACATGCCACTGCGCAGTGGTTCCCCCCCCCTCCCCAGCTGCCCCACTCATGCTCGGGCGCTGCGCCTCTCCCTGCGCATTTCTGACCCCGGCAAGCAGAGGAGACACTTGGAAGGCGCAACCTCCGGTCCGGTTCTCGGAGGCCTCGCCCGGCTTTCTCTCTCTCTCGTCCTTCCCGCCGAAGAGAAACTTTGGAGAAGGAAGAGGCGCCCCCTCACTCCCTGGCCTCGGCGGGAAAAGGGCGCGAAGAATCCAACCTTTGGGGGTGGGGAGAAGAGAGATTTCTCCCCTCCATTACCGAACCCCACCCCAGAGGGCAGGCAGGCAGGCAGTTGCCTCCGGCGCCCAAGGGTGCTGCGGCGACGGCGCCACGCGCGGGGCTCACCTCCCGGGTCTCTGCGGACCCGCCGCCGCCCGGGCAAACTCTGCGGGCGTCCTTCCCGCCCGTTTCGCTCCTTCCTTACCTCCCCGGTTGCAGCGCCGCTTCTTCGCTCTCCTACTCCAACCGCGAGTCTCCCAATACCGCCGAAGCGGGAAGAGAAGGGAGGGTGGGAAAACACATACACACACGGTCTCTACACACATCATGCGTGGCTTTAACTCTTCCTCCTCCAGGCGCTGCGCACTCCGGACAGCCGCGGGGTGTGTTTTTGTTTTTTGTCAGAGCTCCGAAAGCCTGTCGATGGGAAGAGACCCCCCCTTCCATGCTTGATGCCCCTTTGCGGATATTGCCCTTGCAGTTCCTCCATTGAGAATTTTCAACATTTCGAAACGCTCGGTCGTTTCCATCCCCTTACGTAAACGATCATTATTGTTGCCGTTTTTTTAAATGGGGAGAGGGGAAGCAAGCGACCCTCAGAAATCCTGACATGTTTCTGAAAGCAAAGACACGGAGGGCCGTGAGGGTGCAGGACAGAGACGGAATCGTGACCCAGGATAGTTTGCCGCCTGAGGCAAAGAGGTTGCCCATTCCAGGTACCTCAACAGACCGGATTAGCAGTTGGCTCTTACTGTAACACGGAAGACAGGCTTCCATCCTCCGCAAGAGTTGTGGACAGGAGGCTAGCTCTGGGGGGCAGAGGGCAGGCGAGCCACATACAGCCCTGCCCCTGCCCTTCCCACACCTTGCCTCTGTTCTTCAACCCAAATCTTGCTCATTCTTCCTCACATATCCCAGTAGTTACTATGCTTGCAGTATGTGGCGTTTTGTTTTTATTAATTTGTGTTAACAGAAAACAGCAGAAATATTTCAAAAATTACATTCCAGATGTCTAATCCAAAGAATATACACAGAATCATTACACAGAGAGCAGGTTCGAGAATGCCTCAACATTTTAAAATCGCAGGTCTGTTTAGCTAGCTGTTTGGGCCAGGGTGCAGAACATTCATGAAGGATCCGTGAGGTACCAACAATTTGTCAGCATGTGCTGGGTTCAGTTTCTTAAGAGGCGTTTTTTTTTTCCTTCTTTTCCTTGGACAGAAGCTAACCGAAAAAAAAGAAAAAGAAGAAATAGGCAACCTTGCCTGTCAATAAACAGAAAGACACCCACCTCCATTTATAGTGGCTGCTTCCTTCTTTAGTTGGATGTCATTCTTGGCCAAACTAGCCAAACAGTTGATATATATATCATATATCATATGGTATATCATATGATATATATATCATATATATAGCCTCATATATATATATGAGGCTGCAAAGCCTGTTGCGGATTGACTAGAACATGTTGTGAGCCTTGTTTGTTTAGTCATTAAGTCGTGTCCGACTCTGTGACCCCATGGACCAGAGCATGCCAGGCCATCCTGTCTTGCACTGCCTCCTGGATTTTGGTCAAAGTCATGTTGGTAGCTTTGGTGACACTGTCCAGCCATTTCATCCTCTGTCGTCCCCTTCTCTTGCCTTCACTCTTTCCCAACATCAGGGTCTTTTCCAGGGAGTCTTCTCTTCTCATGAGATG